TAACCACTGTTTAGGAGTCCCTTTGATTAAGCTAAGGTTGTCGTGTTTTTTGGGGTGGGGGGTGATCTTGAAGACGATCCTGAGGGGCACGCGTCGGGCGGGCAGCGCGGAGGGGCGCGTACACGTTTCGAGAGCGGGCGTGGAGTCTCTCCAGATTGATCTTTCAGGTGTTCTGGATCCGAAGACAGCGGCTGTGATGCAGGCCAACAACAAGCTGCTTTTCTTTCCTCCCCCCCTCCTTCTGATTTCTAAACTTAGTTTAATAGTTATCGTGGGGGGTTCAAATGGTGGTCCAAAAGGGAATATTTTCTCGTGGGGGGATAGGTTGGTGATACGAAGTTTCAATTAATGGAACATGACATAAATGGTCCCTAATTATGTTTCAATATATAATGTGATCCCTAAATGTTTGATTTGTTCAATCTGATTCCTGAACTTTAGCCAAATATGTTGGACTTTTGGTACATGTTCAATTTAGTCCATGGACTATATGAAAATGTTTAATGTTATTCTTGAATTTGAATTAATGGAACGGCGGCATTGAACATTTTTTCATATAGTTCAGGGACCAAACTGAACATGTATCAAAAGTTCAGGGACCATATTAAACAAATAAAAAGTTCAGGGATCACATTGTATATTGAGCCAAAGTTAATGGACTATTTGTGTCATTATCTATTTTGATTAATTATTGGACGAAAACCTTTTCGCATAACGCACTTTTATGTCTAGTTTTTTTAAGTAACATGAACTCTCGAGAATGAATCTTGCAAAGAAATTAGAGAGAAAATCCCGTCTTTAATGGCTTTTGTTTGATCGAACTGCCGATGTAAAGAGCTTTCTACAGATTCATCGTTAGATGGGTGACGTATGTGTTCGGGCGTAGTCTAGTTAACCGAATTCACCAGCATGTCGCCTCATCCGACGGTGAACGCATAAGAGAGAGATGTTGTGGTGGCAGTGGGCGTAGTAGTAAATCCGATTTGTAATCTCGTTTATGAACAATAAGAACAAACCACAATGATCTCTAGCTTGACTTAATCCGTTCTTGTCAGGCGAGGCCCATCAGGCCCATCATGATTGACGACTTGGGCCGGGCCGAGTACGAAACGGATTTTTGCCTAACCAAGTGCGGTGTTCCCACCTTTTTATCTTTCATTGGAAGATAGCAAATCTTCAATCGAAACATTTCATTCCGGACAAGATTCTTAATTAGAAGGGCCCAAAGTCAAATCAGGCCCAAAACATTAGTACTGTGGGGATGTGCATTTCAATTTTGCATTGGGGCTAAAACTTGTGAAAGTCGTGCAATCAACTCTTTCGTTTAGCTTCGTTTGTTTTCTACGACTCAAAAATTCTTGCGTGGCTTATGTCGATTGTTTCTCTCTCTCTCTCTCTCTCTCTCTCTTCGTCGTGGCCGTTAAGATCGACTTTGGTGAGCAAATACATTCTGAAAGATGTTGTTTGGAACGCCAAATTAAAGGGAAGAAATCGTCAAATTGTGCAGCTCGTACATGCATCTCAAACGGGACCTGAATCGGAATATCACGTTCAAATCGCAGCACCCTTGGTCCTGAATGGAGAAAGTTTTTTATGTGACGGAAACACCGCTTTTTTATGTGATGGAAACACTGCGCGTCAGTGATGACGTGGTGTTACCGATCAATCATCGTTGCCCCACGTATCATGAATCGGATTGAAGAGAGTGGTAGTCCTCGGAACTGCATCGTCGCCAAAATTCGAGACAAGATTCATGCGATTCGATGAGCGAAAGCCCCGCAGCATTGTGAGTTGAGCTCAACATATAGGCTATTGATTTGCGGAGATACCGCAAGTTGAAGGCCTAAGAACACTGTTCAAAGCTCTAACTTTCAGAGACGAGCACAACCCAACAGGCTGCACACAAACCTGGTATCCATCACCCTTCATCATTTTTGGATGATTCCTCTTGCTGAAGTAGGACCCGTCCGTGTTAAGCTCGATCCATCCTGGCGGAGGAGTCTGTGGAACCCGCAAAACCTTCATGTTTTTGTTAGAACGAAGGTCTAATCTCTGGCTCCTGCGCCCGCAAAGGATCATGGGGCACAACCCATGATGGTAAGATTTGGTGCGCCGGTAGGATGGAATCATCTGGGAAGACGACCGTGTTGCGCCGCAGCCAAAGGAACCAACATAGGCCACACCAAAAACTAATGGCCGGTTAGCATTCTGTAGGAAAGTGATCGCAACAAAAACCATTGCTGGAAATCGTCAGTAAAAGTTTCTTCAGTCAATACTCCTGGCATCAAGCAACTCTACACGCTCTATTCTTGCAAGCTTACGTACAGTCCCTTAGGACGTGGTTAGGGATCTGAGCAATTCCTGGACTGCCAGTGCAGGAGAACCTAGCTGAAAGCCGCGAACTTTCGGTGGAATCTTTCTGCATTAGAAAGCTACGAATACGTTGCGGGCCATTCCATTTCAACACTGTCCTCCATAACTTTTCAACGGGTTCCCAATTTGCCTGAGATAAGCCGACTCGAACGTCTTCTATATGAAAAATTCCCCGACTGTTGTAACCCAGACAATCCTATCATTGCTCGAATTCTCTAACAGGAGGTAACGTGGGCAGAAATCTTCCCAGTAATGTCACGAGGCAAGCCATTTTCCAGTGAATGGAGATCCCATTAATCAATCCTGGCATGACCAGCTACTGAGTTTTGACGGTTCTGGATCGAAAGAGGTGGTGTCCACCCAGTAAATCAAAGAGCCAATCTCATCCACCCAATTGCCGATCCGGAACTTTGTTGCGCGTCCATCTGCAACAACCCACCGAGCTTCGCAAACAACGTCAGCACACACACCGCACGAGGCTCTCCAAAGCGAAGAGCAACACGCTCGCTTCGGGAGAGAGCGCGGCATGGTTTTTCGCCGCAAAGATACTCATCACAAAGGAAAACCCGACCACAAGGCCCGGGAGTTCGCGGCAGAGGGCCACACAGGTTCCCCGGTGAAGGTCTTAGGAGAACCTCTCAAGACTTCTCAGTCCAAGCCCGCCATTTTCACAGGGTTGACGAAGCTTGTCCCATGCACAAGCTTTATGAGGTGGTGGGGCGGCCTGCATCACATAGCCAGGCGATTGCGAGGCAATGGATTTCACCACAGTGGTTGTTTTTACGAAATTTTGAATTGTGCAGAAGGTTAATTTTACAAGATTCAAAGTGCTAGGGCCAATTCGTAAATCAGTTAAAGTGCAAGGGGGTGTCCACGGAATATACCCTAGTAAATGATTAGGGGTGGTGAAAAAAGTGACTAGTGGAATCTAGGAAAGGGTCCGATAAAAATAGGGGTGAGCAAAATGAACTGCTTGGATCGAACTAGCCGGTTCTGAGCGCTTCCCGAGGGTATTGGTCTAGTGCCCAGTTCCATAAAATTGGAACTTGTTAATTTCAGTCCGATTCCCGATTCCACCCATTAGGACTGGACTGATTTTTTTTTTTAATTTTTTAATTTCTTAACCCATCGGGACCGGACTGATTTTTTTTTTAAATTTTTTTATTTCTAAAAAATTTGTAAAAAAACCTGAATCTATCTCCCATTTCACAATGGAAGATCCTTCAAGAGTAGAGATTTTTTTTCATTTCTTAGAAATTTGTAAAAAAATCCTAATCTATATCTTATTTCACAAATGAAGGCCCTATTGACATGAGTAAGATGACAAGAACAAATCAAAACACATCAGAAAAATCTCTGTAAAGCCTACAATATTACACGTAACTTACTTATTGTAGAAACGCTTTGATTATGAAGAACATTTTCAATTTTGTCCGAAACATTAATGACAAAAAAAAAATTAACATGCCACTGGATCCATTGGTTCACCCGAGAATCGGTCCAGTTTCGAATTCCAAAAATAAGGAACTGGCTTAGAGGGGCCAATTCCCTATTCCCGGGCTATCGGACTGCCCGATAACCAATCACCCTAGCTAAAAATGCTGAAATTGCCCAAATGCTGGTCAGTCAATTGAAATAGATTACGAAGGATAAGAAAGAAGTTAAACATGGTCAGAAATTCTCCCACATCTGTCAAATCAAGGAAAAGACAATATGGATTAGGAAAATGAGTTTGGGCAAATGGCTATCCAAATTAAGGGTGCTAACAACCAAAAATGCAAATTAACTAATTGCCCTTCTGATAACAAAAGATATCGGTCAAAATTTTAAAAATTAAGCACGTCTCCTAATTACGGAAACGAATCTACAAAGGGTATTAAAAATGTTGTTGCACATTACATAAAGGGAAAATGATACAAATAATTATTAAATTTTGACTCAATATGCAATATGACCCCTGAACTTTTAATTTGTTCAATGTGGTCCTTGAACATTATCCCAATGTGCAATGTGGTTTCTGAACTTTTAAATTATTCAATGCGGTCCCTTAAATTTTGGTACATGTTCAATGTAGTCTTTGGACTATATATAGTGTCGTCTTCGAACTTGAATTAATGGACGGACTATATCGAACATTTTCATATAGTTCAGGGATTAAATTAAACATTACCAAAGGTTGATGGATCACATTGAACAGATTAAAAGTTGAGGACCACATTGCATAATACGGTAAAGCTCAAGGACCGCATTGAACGAATTAAAAATTTAGGAGCTACATTGTATATCGTGCTAAAGTTTAGGGACTATTTATGTCGTTATCCCACACCAACTTGTCCGATTATTCTCCATCATTTGTATAGACAATTTTTAAGGCAACAAGAATCGCACCCGAATTTTCAGGCGATTTTGAATCCGGAGGCCATGCATCTGTAGTCATCCGAGGGGTACAAAATCGAACGATAATTATCCTAGGAATTAGCGAAGAAATTAGTAATACGATTGCTGATTTGCTAGTAGACCTTGTGCTTCATAAATTGCACATACATAACATGTAGAGAGAAGATGGCGCTTCGAACGACGTCGCCGCGGCCGTGACCAGCACGTCGTCGCTTCCTTCTTTGCGGCTCGTTTCGTGCTCTCTCTCTCTCTCTCACTCCCTCTCTCGTTGGACTCCAATGTCAAGCTGAAAATTTGAAGGGAAGAAGAAGGACCCACTTGGTCGTCGAGCTTCTTGGTCAAAACCCGCGAGTGGCAGACGAGGAAGGCGAGGGAAATTCGATCTCTCGTTGCCTTGTCGCTTGTTGGGTCGACCCAGAATTCCAGTTCTTGATTTGTCCTTGGTGTTTGCGCGAATTTCAGTGGGTTTGCGGAAGATGGGTAAGGGAGGCGGCTGTGTTCCCAGCAAGAAGAGGCTCGCCGCCGCCGCCGCCGCCGACGGCGAGCCGGACGCGGCTCCGATCCCGGTCGAGGACCAGGCCCTGGAGGCCGAGCGGGAGGCCGCCCCGGGGGCGACGAGGCTGAGGATCTTCATCGTGTTCTACTCCATGTACGGCCACGTGGAGTCGCTGGCGAAGCGGATGAAGAAGGGGGTCGACGGCGTGGACGGGGTGGAGGGGGTCCTGTACCGGGTGCCGGAGACGCTGTCGCCGGAGGTGCTGGAGAAGATGAAGGCGCCGCCGAAGGACGAGGCGGTCCCCGTGATCGGGGCGGCGGAGCTGGTGGAGGCGGATGCGGTGCTGTTCGGGTTCCCGACGCGGTACGGGTGCATGGCGGCGCAGATGAAGGCCTTCTTCGACGCCACTGGGCAGCTGTGGCGGGAGCAGAGGCTCGCAGGCAAGCCGGCCGGGTTCTTCGTGAGCACCGGGACTCAGGGAGGCGGGCAGGAGACAACCGCGTAAGTGTGAATTTCCGATTTTGGTTATGTTTCTTGCTCCAGTAGAGAATTTCTGTGGTTGATCTTGAATGTGCAATGTATTTGGTGCTTGTTTTGTGTTTGAGATGAGGCAAATCTTTTGTGGATTCTGTGTGTGGATGAATATTTGCGCTACTGGAATTGTATGCAGAAAGTTAGTGATGTGGCCATTCGAATGCTTTGTTATGATCAGAGGCAAGGGCGTTAATTTCCTTGCATTTAGCTTAGAATGGAAGGATGTGGCAGTCTAATTTCCAAGTATATTGGATTATTTGTGCAGTGTTCTTGATGTGAATCTGCAGTTTAGTTGCAATGGGGTTGCATTTCAAAGTGATTCTTGTTCTGTTCTGTTTTGTTATAACAGTTCAGCGAATCAAGACTTGTTTGGTTATGCCGGTTCTAAGTTCAAGTATATTGGATTATCGACAATCAAGTTTTTGATGCTAATTGCTAAGTGCAGTTGACAACTGCAAGATACTTGTGAAAGCATGTGGGTTCTTAGAGACTTTCTCGGTGGCAGTGAAGATAGCTTGTAGCTTAAGCCTAAGAACAGAATTGAAAGTTTTGGTTCCTTATCAGAAGGGGTAAGGATAAGCTTCATTTTGTGTTCAACTTGGAGCTAGAATTCTATTTCTGAGCCTGCGACTACCACTTTTTTACTTTTTTGCAGCACAGTTTTATCATCTATCATGTACTTTCTCTTGATTATCATGAATGAGTTTATTCTTCTCGGTTTATGCTTCTGCTTGCTTGGCACATTGTGTTTCAGCTTAATTTTGAGGAATCTTGACTTTTGCAGATGCGATTTTCCATCTGAGACAGCTTATGGTCTTATATTTAGTTTTATTGTTTAAGGTTCTGTCTCTTGAACGTGACAAGGTTATTTTTATTCTAATTGCATTTTTAACTTCTTGAGAGTTGAACATCATGGCCAATACCTTACCAAAAAAAACATCATGGCCAATAATACTATAGTAGCAAACATATTGTCCCCAGCAACAGAGATACTACAGTTGGATTTATTATTAACATAATCTGCTTGATCTGGTGCAAGGTCACTAGTGGTTTTTGTTATTATGTATTTTAAGGGGATGTTAAACAGTTTGTGGTAAGAAATGAATGAACATATAGCACAGGTTGATTGAAATTAAGTATTCTGGCTGTTGCCCCATGGGGTGCAGCGCAGTTTGGTGGTGCTGCTTTGATCTCACCCATGCGGTGCGAGTTCAAGTCCTCCGGCTTGCATTGCACCTCAGACTTACCCGGAGCGAGGGTGGGGCCTCTCCTAGCACCCCGTGAAAGGTTTTATCCGCCACAACCTGTGCAAGCTAGGACGGCGCGAATTCCCATCATGGTCATAAAAAAGAAAGAGTGGTGTGGCTGTTGAAATTGACTGATTCTGGAGTTTTGTTTTTGTTAAGGTGATTGTGACTTGGTCAAACTTCATTTTTCTGGGCTTGTAATCATCACTGGTGATGCAGCTTCGGAGCTCATTCTATTATTATTTGTCGTTTTCAAATGCATATTCTGATAACTAATTCAAGTCTTGCATGCATAAATAATGGATACCGTTTTCTGTGCATTGAATATGGTGGATTCTGCTCATTGGAGAAAAGTATGCACTCCGTCTAGTCACTTGCCGTTAGAACTTGCCTGTTGTTTTAGTTGTCTTTCTGCTCGTGATAGCTCTAAAACTCTTCCACGTTTGGCACTGGAATTGCACAAGAATTATCGTGGAGGCTTATATTGCAGAAGATTTATATCCTGGCAGTAGCTACTGCTGCATGTTCGATGTTGGAATTTATGCTCAAGTTAAAAATAATATGGATCTTTCATTTGATTTGCATTTATAATGAGCACAGTATTTAACAATATTTTACCAGTTGTCTTGCTTGATGGTGATCCGTACTTGATTCGATGCAGTTGGACCGCAATCACCCAGTTGGCTCACCACGGGATGCTGTTTGTTCCGATCGGATACACCTTTGGCGCTGGTATGTTTAAATTGGACGAAGTTCGCGGGGGCTCCCCGTATGGTGCTGGAGTTTTTGCGGGCGATGGCTCGAGAGAGGCAACGGATGCGGAGTTGGCGCTCGCGGAGCATCAGGGCAAGTATATGGCTGCAGTTGTCAAGAGGCTTGCCCTGGATTGATTGATGATTCATCTTCTGAATGATGTCAAACCTGGTTCCTTGCTTCTGTTTATTCATTCGAATAATGATATCAATTATTCTTTCGGGCAATTCAAAGAGTCGTCGGAGTCGTCGAAAGTTTATGGTTTGGTTCTCATTTCATGTGTCTTGTGCTCGAAATTCTGTATATGGTGCATCAAATCTTGTCACATTGTTTCCACTGATACTAGAAGTCCTAAAACGAGTTACCTTATGCTGGAATTTTGGCCCCATGAAGGGGAGCATTGGGCGATGCTCTGTCCTTCTCCTCAATTTGATTGTCAAGATCGAAGATTAGAAGCCCAGTAACTCTTTAGAGGGAATGGGTATAAGTGTATGTTGTGGTGGCAAATGGAAATGAATTCGGGTGCGGTTCTTTCACGAAAAATTCATAATTTGAAAATTATTTTTCAAAAAATGATCGAATGTATTGTTTATTAAAACGAATGAATGAAAATATTGTTATTGTTCACGAAACTATTTAAACATAAATTGTTTAGAATGGTCAAAACATTTTCCATTGATTAATTTTTTTTTAGAAATATAATTAATTATTATTTGAAAAATATTTTTCAATTTTTTTTTTTCGTAAAACAAACGGGTCCTTGTATACAAATGGTTTGAGCGGCTCATAAGCGACTTTATTTATTTCTTATCTTATTTTTACTTTTCATATTTATTCTTCAGTTTTTAATTTAAGAGTGGACATCAAAATCTCAGTAATTTGAGATGTTTTTTGGTTTTTTTCATTTGAAAGGTTGGATGTTTATTGCTATTTGTTCATCTTCTTTTTTGGCCTTGAGCTATTCGCCCATCTTTAAAAGCATATGAACATCAACATTTTATATCATTTAAATATCGGGTAATCGTTTTCGTAAACTTTTAAAAAGAAATTAAAGTAATCTCTTTATATTTATGGAATGGACAAAAATTAGTTTTTCACCTTTAATACTTTGAAACGGACATATTTTAAACTCATGGATCTTGTCAACATGTGTCTTGGGGCACTTACTATGAATAATTATTAATGAATTCCTCAAACACTCGTTAACGAGATTATAAACTAATCAGAGATTCACAGAGGATAGAATAATTTCGATACGTTATCTTCTTTATCTCATAGATTACTTTAAGTAAAGTTATGCAAATTCTCTTTTGAAAAGTAGGACTTTTTCTGTCTTTGCCCTCTAAATTATCTCTTGGCATTGGAGAAACGCTTAGGAAATGGGATCACTAGCTTAACCATGGACTACTACCAAAGTTCAATCTCTTGAGTGTAGGAATAAGAACACTTCGATTACAAGCCATCCTTCTTTTTTGCTAAGTAAAAATCCATACTTTATATATTTAAAACAATCAAATGTCAGCACATTTTTCTTCCCATTGGCTGGGAAATAATAATAAAATCTAATCTTACAATCGGACGACTTAAAAAACACATTTGTTAGATTGTTACTGTCGCCACTAAATATCGCTTTTTTTTCTTTTTCCCTAGTTTTCGTGTTTAACACCGTCTAAAAATAAATAAAATTAGCGAAAAATATTGTCGTGATCAAAATAATGAAATCTAGTCCTCAGAAAAGAACATAAATAAAATTTAAAAAATCACTCAAATTTTGATCATTTCGTCGATCAGTTTTGGAGTTTGGATTTGAGCCTCGACGTAGTGACCGAAGTTCGATGCTCCGAACCTGGGTTTGCAGTGCCTAGACCCAAAGCTTTGGTGTGCAAACTTGGGTCCTTGGCTTCTGAATCTTATACCCGGCTCCCAAACCCAGTTTCGAGCTCGAACCCAAGTCCACCCTATTAGATTTAGGACTCGACATCTAGATGCGATCCATCGTACCCTAGAGCCAGGTCCCCTTGTCATCAATCCACTTTCAAATTTCCCATAAATTACATGGATTACTTGCAAAGTTTAGGCACAACATTAAAGTTAAAGAGATCAGATTCGAACAAAAGAATCAAAATCATATAGTGATTTGTCATATCTCCGTATATTATAATTTTTTTTGTCACTAAGAAGACTCACCTTCCTCTTAAGCTTAGGCCTATTTGGATCGGTCTCCCTCATCAACTCCAGCAAAAAATGAAAACTTCCATTGCAAGGCTTCTCGAAAATAACTTCTTTTCGAAATATTAAAACAATCTGTTTATCTTTGTGGGACGGACACAAATTAGTTTTCCACCTTTAATAATTTAAAATAGACGTATCCTTAAACTCATGGATTTTCTTTAACAAGTATCTCGACACACTTAATAAACATTCAAATGAAAAAAAAAGGTTATTATTTCCAATCTGGAGTCTCTATCATATTGAGTATAATTCGCGCATTGGAATCGAAATATATACCCGAGACACTCGTTAATAATATCATGGACTTATTAGCGAACCATATCATCTTTATTCTGTAGATGACTTTTTTCTTTAAACAGATGGTGTTTGCAAATTCTCTTTATACGAAAAAAGTCTTTTCTATCTTTACCCACTAAATTCTCCTTTGGCGTTGGACAAACGCTTCGGAAATTGGATCCCTAGCTTTTCACTATGGACTTCTTCTGCAAAAGTTGAATGTCGAGTGGAGAAAAAGAATGCTTCAATTAAAAGCTAACCCTTTTCTTTGGCTGAGCTAAAAGCGGTACTTTGTATTTAATAGTCTAATTTTAACACAGGGTTCGTCCCCATTAGTTGACGAACAACAATAAAATCAAATCTTACGCCAAAATTTCCCTATTTTTTTTTTTCGCGTTTGAAATCATCTAAAATAATAAAATTTAAGTTAGCGAAAAACGTTTTCGTGATCAAAATAATAAATTTTAATCCGTAAAAAAAGAACATAGATAAAATTAAAGAATTCACTCAGATTTCCACCACCGTGTCGACCATTTCTCTCGTTTGGATTTGGGGCCTTGATGTTGTGACCCGAGTTTGATGCTCCGCACCTGGGTTTGCAACACACGGACCTTGGCATGCGAACTTGGTTTCTTGGACTCCACTCCATATCCTAGGACCCGGCTCTCGAACCTAGTTTCAAGCACGAACCCAAGTCCCACCCTAGGAGACTTAGGACCCGACACCCGGACCCAATCCACCCGACCCTCGACCCGGGGCAGGGTACCCCTGTCATCACTCCATTTCCAAATGTCCCAAGCAATGCAATTTTAGGCATTACCAAAAAAGTCAAAACAGATCAGATTCCAACTAAGGAATCCAAGCCAAATAGTGTGATTCGTCGCACCTCCCGTGTGTTCATGTCTTTTTTTATATTTTTCTGTCAATTATAAGACACGCCTATTTCAATCAGGCTCTCTCATCATCTCCGGGCAACAGGGAGAGAACTTCCATTGCAGCGCTTCTCTCTTCTCTGAAGAAAAGGACAACAAAAATCCAATCTTTCTTCCCCGATTCGATTGCTGCTGATACGAGCGAGACACCCTTTTGCTGCGAAGCGACGCGGAGGTCGGAAATGGCGGACACGCTCGCTGCTCTCAGGTCCCTGATGTCCTCCCACGCCCCTCCTCTCGATGCCCTCGTCGTTCCTTCCGAAGATTATCACCAGGTTGGTCCTGCCTTTTCCCCATTGTCGAATTCGCGCTCTGCTTCCTTTAGCGGCGCCCGTCTCGTTCTTCTTGCGGAGTTTCCGCTGATGCTGGGGATGTGGCTGAATTGGTTTGCAGAGCGAGTACGTGTCTTCGAGGGACAAGAGGCGCGAGTTCGTTTCTGAGTTCACCGGAAGTGCTGGTGAGTATTTGTTTGTGGTTATGAATCGGTTCGATCGCGTGCGATGAGTCGGTTGGATTTGGTTTTGATCAGTTTGAGATTAAGAATTTCGACTTTTGTCATTTTTGTGTTGGAATCGGTTCATCGCTTGCACATTATCGTGTCTCTTGCTAGACAGACTTTGACAGCAATGTTAGTGTTTACCGAGTTCGTAATCGAACACATTAATTTCTGCCAGGCAAACTGATATACCAGCGCTGTCGTACTTTCTTTCGGCTTTTCGGGATTGAACATCTGAGTTAATATTTATGAAGAAATGGTAGACATAGGCATCAATTGTTTCGGATCGATACATGATTCCTACTGACTAGAAATGTGAGAAACATGTGTGTCCTCATTTTCATGGCATTGTGCTTGACGAAACTTTTGACTGTCGTGTAACTGCAACCTTAAAAAGATGAGAGAGCATTTCTCCGTTTTACTTGGATTTCAAAAGTTTTGGTGGAAAAATAGAAAAGTGTTCTTTGAACATGAGCTGGTGTTCTGAATTGATTAAAATGCCGTGGGATGAAATTGACAACGTTGTTCCGATAGGGCTTTTCATCCTAAAATGGGTGAGGATTTCTTTTGGTCGATGCTGCTTTAGTGCTAGATTCTAGTACAGTTGTATTTTATGCATCTGATGAGGTGTCGTAGCAATGTATCGGCTGTATCTTGTTTTTATGGCATTGCAAATGACGTTTACACTAGGTTTATTTTAAGGATCCTTTTGAACTGTAGGCTGAATTGCCTGCTTCCTTTAGTGTAATTTCACATGTTTAAGATCTGCATATGCGGCAAATGCTTGGTTCGGAGAAATAAAAGAGGAAGAGGAAGAGTGTTTGCACCTTAATGCAGAGAAATGTCATACTTTGACAGTCACGCGACTGACGAAAGTCATCACTAATGTTTCACCAGCATCAACTCATTGATCTATTTTCTTTTGTGTTTGGAGAAATCTGCAGAAAATTAAGATTTTTAGAATTTGTATGTGATTTATTAAATTTATGGAGTATGTCTTAGTTAAACTCTTTTAATTTGAATCGTGCAGGTTTGGCTCTTATAACAATCAATGAAGCACTGCTATGGACCGATGGGCGTTATTTCTTACAGGCTGCTCAACAGCTTAGTGATCAGTGGAAACTCATGCGCATAGGAGAAGACCCTGCTGTGGATGTTTGGATGGCAGACGTGAGTCTATATCTTCTTGGTGAATTTTGGACAACTTTTTAAGCTTAAAGGCCATTCTAATTCTACTTTGTTCTGCGCAAGATCAGAAGTTGAGACATGTTCTTTGACAGTTCCTCAATTAATCGTTCCGCGATTTCTTGACCTCTATGAAGTGGGTTATATAATTTTTTGTTGGCCAAAAACTTTTTAGATATAAGCTCTTCATTTTAAATGTCTGTGATGATTGCCAATCAACGATGATTTTATTTTACTTAAGTTCTGGTACGCTGAA